TAACTCCCAGCACAATCCCTCTCTGTCAGTCTTCAAACCTGGCTCCTTTCCTGCAGAGCAAGCCAAATCCACAACTTGCAGGGGACAGTAAAGAAGAAAGAAATAGAGGTGTTGCCACCTGATTTTTCTCTGTTGCATTCCCAGTGGCGAGTACTGTCCCATGTATACTTCCCAGGCCTCCTCAAGCCCATCTAGTGTGGCTGCCATCCTGACTTCACATTCAGAAAAGCTGGTCTTTAGAGGCTGAACTCTAGCATGTGCATGCATTGTGAAAACTGGAGACATTCCTCCAGTTTTTTCACAATGCAGTCCTCCTACTTCTGAACTGCAAGCCTGGCTTCTTAATTTGAGGTCTTTCTGGAAGTTTATCAAGCTGTTCCTTAATTTCAGTACTGCATCACTGTAATGTTTCCCTGTTGTGACAAACTGGTGCTCTCATTTCCAGTTGAAGATGATGCAGCCAGCAGGCTGTAAACCCCTGAGGTTGAAGGGGAATATCCAGGGCCCTGTTTGATGTAAGGCTTGGTGGCAGGGGTGCTGCTTGTTCTTGGAGTCCTGCTAACTTCCCATCAGGATATTTGCAGTGCCTTGCCCTTTGCTTGATGGCTGATGCTTGCAGAATCAGGTCCTAATTTAACAGTTGTGGTGTGTTGGCCTCCAAGTAGGCTGGCCAGGGCATTTTGTTTCATTGGATGGTAACAGGTAAGGTCTAATTGACTGCCATGTAAATGAATTAAACCTCATTAGAATGGGGTGTTAAGATGCTGAGTAACATCATAATTTTGTTATATGTACTAGTGATTCTGTTTACTTTCCAGATTTATCCCCTCTTGTGGGGGGATGCAGGAGGGCTTAAATGAGATTTTAATGTTAATCCCTGTGCTCTGCCTTTTGGGATTTCTTATTAAACATGGATGTTTGGATACTATGGGCCAAGGCTTCTACAGCTAGAAAAATGTGTGTTGGGAGGTTTCACATTTCTTCTCAGCTTGCAGTAAACAATCTGTATTGAGAGGACTTCCCCCTCTTACTACTTGCCCCCCACTTCTTGCCTTCTCCCCAATCTTCCCAGGGCTGTATTTCCATGGATACCAAGAACTTTCAGGATCTCGCATGCTGATATAAATATGCAAAATCTTATTTTCAAGTGTTCTTTAATCCCTTGTCCAAAGCTGTCCTGAGATTTCTGCTTGCACATTTCTCTTTAACCCTAAAAGCAGTCTTGGTTTCACACCCCTGGACTGGTTCTCCTATCAGTCCCCATGTTCTGGCCAGGAGGGTTCCTTTGTACCTGTTTGTGTCTAGGTAATTTTACCCTGATGTGGAGTGACTTGTGCCAGCACAGGCAATGTGTTGTGTGTCGAGACAAGCTGCACTGGTATAAGGGTGAGAACACGCAGCCTCTGTAGGGAACTCAGACTAACAGAGAAGGTTGCAGAAGGGTCCTCTCATCCGTACAGATTATAGCAGCTTATTGTGCATGTTCGCTGCTCTTCCTGGCTTCTCCTAGAATATCCATTTAAATTGGAGGTCTTGCTCCTTAGCTTCAGGCTGCATTGGACAGCTCTGTTCCTTGGACACAATGGGAGGGATGGGACTTTTTTAGTCCGTTAGTCCCAGAGTAAATTCCCTCAGGAACTGAAGTCCATCTTGGCCACTATTGCCTTCTGCTCCCAGTGTGAACTTCAGCCTGACTTTGCTAACATGCATGGGATAGCGTGTGGAGTTAAAGAAAAATCCCCCAAAGCATAAGCTTCCTCAACACCAAATATTCCTCTGCAGATGCCAGTCCCCCAGGAGGAGAGGATGAGTGAGCCACAGGTGACGGATACACATTAGTTGTCATGTAATGTCTGGTTACTGCAGGGATGAGGACTGTATGGGAACTGAACAGAAATTTGATGCGCTCGGGGAGCCATCAAAGTAGCAATCCCATCTCTGGTCTGTCCTATGGATCGCTGCACTGCCAGGAGTCCTTGCAGTGGGGTAGCTCTGCTGAGATCAGGCACTGCAGCGTTCGGCATGGCCGGGAGTTTCTTACTTGAAATCGTGCAGGGAGTGCCCACTGAAGGTTTGTTGAGCATGTTAAGTATATAATAAAGCCTCGGGTACTTGGAAAATTTTTGGTGTCTGTCTGCCGGGTATAATCAGAAATTTTTGGCAAGCTTCAGCTCCCAGTCCCCCATTCTGTGAAATCATATAATGTGCCTTTGCCCTGCTTAGGATAACTGGATGTAGGAAGGGCAGAAGCCAGGTTCCCACTGCTGAGAACTGGGCAGTGCGTGGGGTGGGGGTGGTTGAAATAGCAAGTGCTCCTTTTTCCACCCAACCAAGCAACCTGAATTCTCTCCATTTCTTCCATGTTGTACTCTCTGTTTCCTAATAACACAATTGCACATATAGGCAAATGTTTGGCTGCAGTTGAAAGACCAAGGACTCTCACTTCCAAATTCCCTCCTTCACCTGGCTTCATTTGCCATCTGCAGTTCCTGAGTTTTGGTTGGGCTTGGAAGTGGAAAGGCCAAATAGCCACTAGAAAGGCTGAGTTCATTGTAGTCCCCTTCTACTTGGTTAAAACCAGTAAACACTGAGCAACTTGCAGGAGAGCTTGAGTGTTTGAGAACAAAGCAGGCTGGTGGGGCAGAGGGTCATGGTCCCCTTCCATGTTCTCCTGACACAAGCTCCAGCCATGCGAGCCCCAAAGCAAGATGGTGCTCACAGGACACTTGCAGATGTTTGAAATCATGAGCACTGGGCTTCACTGTAGTTGGAGCTGCCAGATTTGAATGCAAGGGAACAGTAGCTAGACCTGAATAAGTATACTGGTGGGGAAGGAGATTATGGCAGGCTCTGGGCTGAGAAGGAATTGGGGAGTGGGTTAGTGGCTGGGAGCCCCTAGGCAGTGGGGAGATGGATTGGAGGACGAACTGCAGAGTTCATGCTGGAAAGGCATTTTGCTTGGTACTTGTGCCCTGGGGAAGGGGCCAGAGCTGCGCTGCCACAAAGAGGATTGGCCACAAAGAGGATTGGGCCCTTGGGGCTGCTCTGCCGCATGCCAACATCTTACAAGCTGGGGTTGTGGGTGTGTATGGCACTGCCCAAAAACGTTACTGACCCTGCTTCAATCGGTTACTGAGTTTGATATGCTTTTACCCAGAATTTATTCTGTAATATATTCTGGTTTTTAATTTGGGATTCCCAAATCTCTTCATTCTTTTGATGTCAGCAAATACTTGGGAAAACTGTCATTGCCCTTTGTTGATCCCTGACCCTTGCAACCTGCTACTGATCTTGGCTACTCTGCTAAGGCAAATGAGAGAAGTTAGTGCTAATTACTTGTGTGGGTGCCAGAAAAGGGATTTGTATTTTGAGCAGAGAGGTTGAAGTAAAAAAATTAATCCTCTTTTGAGAGTTGATGTTTTGTTACAGCTCTTGGAATTAGTGTTGTGTTGGGTGTTTTATGTTTTTGTTTTTTTTTTTTTTGTTTTTTTTTTTTTTTTACATTGCTGCAAACATGTTTAAGCACCTTCTTATCTCAAATTCTTACAGCTGTGTAATGATGAAGCCATTAACAAATTAATGAAATGCTGTATTATTTGGAAACATTTTAAAAATATGTACCTGCTTAGCTGGCGTTGAAGATCTTTGTTCCTCAAAAGGCATACTTTGCATTTAAAAGCAATCCCTTTTCATTTGGTTTTGGGTTTTAAAGTTCTTGTCTAAGGACTGGGTCAGTGTTTTTGAAGGCCTAGCCTGAAACGTGGTCAATAAAACTAAATTTGGAGTCTTTTAGAAGGTTGAATGTACTGCATTTTCTCGCAGACCGCATGCACAAGATATAATACACACCTTATTTTTGAAAGGCAGAATGAAGGAAAAAAAGAGAATTCCTTGTAGTAAGTAACTGAGTAACAGCAGCCAGGGAATTGAGCTTGCTTATTGTTTTGTGCAGGTTTCAGTGGATCTTATTTTCAGTTTAACTTGGCAAAGAGCAGAAATTACTCTTAGCATTTTTCTCTCATATTATGTATACTTTGATTTCTAGCACCTCTTTTGGGCGGGGGGGAGGGGAAGCAGATGTTGTATGTGAGAAAATACTGTAGTTATGTATCCTACTATTTTTGGTCTTGTACTTGGCAGAAAACCAGCTATAGTCCCATCTAGAAATTACCTGGTTTGTGATCAAAATTAGAGTCCATAAGCTGTTAACCCAGGTAGAAATCCACCCTGCTTCCACTGAAATAAATGGCTATAGTTTCCCCTGACTTCACAATATGTTCAGAGCAAGGGGCTGATCCTGGGGGAGGGAGGTGCAGGGGCATGCCCGCACCCCCCTTCAGCTGTCGCATGCTTGCTGCCTGCTCCCGCTTCACTGCAGGCATCTGGGTTGCCTGCAAAGTCCAAGATGTGGCTGGAGCCCCATGCTGCAGGGCATACTAAGGAGGGGGGCAACCAAGAGGGAGCAGGGGTGGAAGAGGTGACCTACCTGCTGCTGTCCCCAGATGGAGGAAAGCCCCAAGCTGCTTGTCCTGTTCCACCTGGGGGCTACCAAGGACAGCTGAATGGGGTGCCAGGCTCAGCAGCAGCTGGCAGGTCCCTGTTACCCATCCCTTGGTCTTCTTTTGTGGGTTGGGGGCTCTAGCTGTAAGGAGTGCAGGGAACAGATGCTGGAAGGGGGTGGAGGGGGCTGCCTGCTTG